GTATGGCTGGGTGTACGCGGGTTGCGGTGAGGGCAGTATGGCTGGGGTGTGAGGGCAGTATGGCGCTGGGGTGTGAGGGGCAGTAATGGCGGCGGGGTGTGAGGGAGTGATGGGCTGCGGGTGTGAGGGCAGTATTGGCTGGGGTGTGAGGGCAGTATGGCTGGGCGTAGAGAAGATGGCTGGGCAGTATGGCTGGGGCTAGGCAGATCTCNACACACATACATACATACACACCAAGAGTGTTATTATGGACTCTCGATACATACATACATACATACATACAGCTGACTCAGCATTTCGCGTGAGAGTGAGATTACGCGGTATCTACGTCTCTCCGATTAACAGAGTATTACACTGTGACAACAAGTACGACCAGTACAAACAGTACAACCGCAAGGTCGACGTCCCCACCCCCCTCACCGGCGGGGGGAGGGGGGCAGGAATGCCATGATCCCGTGGTCTTTATTCTCTATCTCCTCCCACCCCCATCACCGGTGGAGGGAGGGGAAGGCAGGAATGCCATGACGGTAAGGTTCTCCCTCCCCCCATCACCATCACTGGGGCGAGGGGAGGGGGCAGGAATGCCATGACCCTGAGGTCTTCATTCTCTATCTACCCCCACCCCATCACTGGTGGGAAGAGGGAGGAATTCAAACGACCCCCCCCCTCATCACCGGCAAGAGGGGAGGGCGGCAGAATATCAAAAAAAGTTGCGTAACAGCGCTTTCTATTTTTCAAGGTCGACACTCGGTTCGGTCCTCCGATGCAAACGTCGAGACTTCAAACTTCAAAGTATTGTTTGTGTCGAACGCGCGCAGCGGGATTTAGCAGCCGAAATACGAGCCAATCTCGACCGTGGCGCACTCGCGGCCTGTTTGCGATTCGAAATGGACTCAATGCCGTCGCCGCAAATGGAGTGGACCCGTTTACGATCCGTGTAAAGCTCGATGACGTTTTTATTATTGTATCGTAGCGACTGGAACGATTTTCGAAGTGCCCAGCTTCCGTTTGGGTGGAGGGTGGGGGGGGGAGGGCCGACGTTCAAAGCGTGCAAACGTTTCTGGATCGCAGAAAAAATGTTTCCAGAATCGAATCGCGGTGAACATTTCTCTGTGTTCCAACGACATATATGATAGAACTGCTGACTGCTGACAGAGAATTGACAATTTTACCGATTGAGGCTTAAGTTATAAGCAACCTTTTGTTATTCACCTTTCAACACCGATTTTAAACAGATACAGGTAAAAAAAAAACTGTTAAAACTCCCAGTCAATGCAAATTACAAATCATACAAATTGTGGAACAATCCATTCCAAAATGTACAATCCATTGTAGAAAACACATGCTCACAAAACAATGATAACCAACTAGCTAAACCTGGCACATTGTCAATTCAAAATTTTGAATTTTCAGATCGAACGTTGACTCCAAAAGATAATCCTCAGGGGTTAACATAGTTACAAATCGATCATTATTCTTCTGCTGATTGTGACAATTTCTTCACTCCCTGATAACATCTCAGCTCGTGGAATTGTTGACGACTACCCGATTAGAATTTACCGACGAACCCCCTGCATCAGCATTCACCTCTACAGAACAAACACCTCTCTATAAGGGTCAGTTGGCCAGCCTTTCCCTTGAGCAGCAGTTAAAAAGACGCCCCTTTCCCTACAGAACAAACACCTGCCTATAAGGGGCAATTGACATTTCCCTCGTGCGGACTGGGGTGTGAGGCAGGTCTTGCATTAATCGGAGCCAGTGTGGCCCTGGGGCAAGCTGGCTGTGACACTAGCAAGCACCAGAATGAACAACCTTATTAGATTAGGCGAACGCGCGCGGCAGAATTAGCTTAGCCTTCATTGAGGATGCTTGCTAGCGAATCAGTCGCATTTACGAAGGCTTAAGCGCCGTATCATTTTCCAACTCCCTCTCCACTCGCATCTTCCCCCCCCCCATATATATCGATTCCCTAAAGCAAAATCAATGCCCTCGGACGACCGTCGGTCGCTCGATTATGAAGTCCTTTGGGGGGATTTAGTTCCGAGATTGAGCCGCTAGCGCCATCTGCTGGACGATATTTGTGGTAATTTGAATTAGAAATCGCCGGAAGAGCTGGCGTGTGTTGATAACCGAATCTTGCACAGCGTTCACACAACGGCGCGCAATACTGCCGGAAAAATATTTCGTTTCTATCAGAAAAATGATCAGCCTATTGACACGGCACGTCTAAAGTCCGTACGCGTATATTTTTTGATTGTTTCGCTCGTACGATTCTATAATCACCATATATAAATAATATATATGTATATATGTAATAATCGTAATAGTTTCATTCATACGTAATCACTTCAACTTCCAATCTGCATTAATAACACTCACACACACAGAAAAATATTCGGATGTGACTTTTGCACGTTTCCTCGAAAATTGCGAATTTCCTGCTACCTGCAATATCAAAGGTGATTCATCAAACGTGATTCTCGCGTACGCACATTCGACGCGCGTGTATATGTATATATGTATATATATATATATATATATATGTACAGGCGTGCGAGCAACGTAGAGTTCATCTAATCGGTCACACACGCGCGCGCACACACACGCACGCACGCACGCACGCACGCACGCACGCACACACACACGCGGACACACACACACACGCACGCACGCACGCACACACACACGCACGCACGCACGTACGCACGCACACACGTACACACACACACACGCACGCACACACACACACACGCACGCACACACGCACCCCGCAATATCTCGCCTGCTAGCAAGAACAGCCGATCGCGGGCCACACACATACATACATACACACCAAGAGTGTTATTATGGACTCTCGATACATACATACATACAGCTGACTCAGCATTTCGCGTGAGAGAGAGATTACGCGGTATCTACGTCTCTCCGATTAACAGAGTATTACACTGTGACAACAAGTACGACCAGTACAAACAGTACAACCGCAAGGTCGGCGTCCCCTCCCCCCATCACCGGCGGGGGAGGGGGCGAGGAATGCCATGATCCTGAGGTCTTTATTCTCTATCTCCCCCACCCCCCTCACCGGCAGCGGAGGGGAAGGCAGGAATGCCATGACGGTAAGGTTCTCCCTCCCCCCATCACCATCACCGGGGCGAGGAGAAAGGGCAGGAATGCCATGACCCTGAGGTCTTCATTCTCTATCTACCCCCACCCCATCACTGGTGGGAAGAGGGAGGAATTCAAACGACCCCCCCCCTCATCACCGGCAAGAGGGGAGGGCGGCAGAATATCAAAAAAAGTTGCGTAACAGCGCTTTCTATTTTTCAAGGTCGACACTCGGTTCGGTCCTCCGATGCAAACGTCGAGACTTCAAACTTCAAAGTATCGTTTGTGTCGAACGCGCGCAGCGGGATTTAGCAGCCGAAACACGAGCCAATCTCGGCCGTGGCGCACTCGCGGCCTGTTTGCGATTCGAAATGGACTCAATGCCGTCGCCGCAAATGGAGTGGACCCGTTTACGATCCGTGTAAAGCTCGATGACGTTTTTATTATTGTATCGTAGCGACTGGAACGATTTTCGAAGTGCCCAGCTTCCGTTTGGGTGGAGGGTGGGGGGGGAGGGCCGACGTTCAAAGCGTGCAAACGTTTCTGGATCGCAGAAAAAATGTTTCCAGAATCGAATCGCGGTGAACATTTCTCTGTGTTCCAACGACATATATGATAGAACTGCTGACTGCTGACAGAGAATTGACAATTTTACCGATTGAGGCTTAAGTTATAAGCAACCTTTTGTTATTCACCTTTCAACACCGATTTTAAACAGATACAGGTAAAAAAAAAACTGTTAAAACTCCCAGTCAATGCAAATTACAAATGATACAAATTGTGGAACAATCCATTCCAAAATGTACAATCCATTGTGGAAAACACATGCTCACAAAACAATGATAACCAAAGTTCTAGCTAAACCTGGCACATTGTCAATTCAAAATTTTGAATTTTCAGATCGAACGTTGACTCCAAAAGATAATCCTCAGGGGTTAACATAGTTACAAATCTATCATTATTCTTCTGCTGATTGTGACAGATTTCTTCACTCCCTGCTAACATCTCAGCTCGTGGAATTGTTGACGACTACCCGATTAGAATTTACCGACGAACCCCCTGCATCAGCATTCACCTCTACAGAACAAACACCTCTCTATAAGGGTCAGTTGGCCGGCCTTTCCCTTGAGCAGCAGTTAAAAAGACGCCCGTTCCCTACAGAACAAACACCTGCCTATAAAGGGCAATTGACATTTCCCTCGAGCAGCACTCAAAAACATAACCCCCCCCCCCTAAAAAACAAACACCTGTATATAAAGGCCATTTTCCGCACACTTTCCACGGACGACCCTTACGTACAGGTCCGGCCACGCAACGCGGATCGACGAATCTTGCACCCCGCATCCCATCGCCCTTACGGTGACCTTGATTGTACCTTATTGGTTATTGGTTACCATTACCTCGACTAGCGATCATTACCTTGACTAGCGGTCATTACCTTGACTAGCGGTCATTACCTTGACTAGCGGTCATTACCTTGACTAGCGGTCATTACCTCGACTAGCGGTCATCACCTTGACTAGCGGTCATTACCTCGACTAGCGGTCATTACCTTGAGAGTGTCGAAGAATTCGGCCGGCTCCGCGAGCACGCGCACCTGGGATCCGTGCACGGCGAAACACGGCGCCTCCTCCGCCAGGTAAGAGAACGTGTTCAACGCCGAGGACGGGCGACCGGTCCTCCCCATCCTCACCTCCCCGTCGCCGTCGTCCGTCCGTCCGACGCCGTCCGACGAGCGGTCGTCGCTGCAGACGCCCGCGGAGTCGTCGTCGCACATGTCGCCGGTTCGCCCGACCTCGCGCGCGGGGCCGAACAAGTGAGCAGCACCACCACCGTCGGCGTTGTCGTCTCGCCGGAGTTCGCACGGCGCGCCGGCGTCGCCGCGGTTACGAGTCTCCGTCGTCACGTCTGCGCGGCGGGGTTTCTCGCTAGGAGGGGGGAGTTTCTCGAGCGGGGCGTCGTTTAACTGCGCGGTGCAGTCGCAGTGTGGTCGTACGGCGGCGCACTGGCACGCGCCTCGCTGCGCGTGGACGGATCGCAGCACTGAGTGACCGGCAAGTAGTCTGCAAACGGAAGGTTGGGACGTTAGAATCGCTTTTTTTGCGAAGCTCGGGCCATCCTTAAAAAATAATATGTTTGCTGTCCTCCGACACCGGACCCACGAAAATAGCCGCGACCCAGTTTTTTTGGACATTTTGGGTTCCATTTTTTTTTTTACATTCCTTATAGTTAAGACTGAAACACAAAGCATGTGTGGGAAACATGAGGACAGACTTAAAATAACTATTATGCCTCACAAAAAAAGACCTACCTACCTACCCACTAAAAAAATCATGGGTCGGGGGACAGCAAACATAGAATTTTTTAAGGATGGCCTCGGAAAGTTTGCGAGGGAGCGTGCGCGCCGACGACGCGATCGGGTCGGACAGTAGAGTGCAAACAGAGATGAACACTGAAGAACACTGCAGTACACAGAAGAACACTGAAGAACACTGAAGAACACAGAAGAACACAGAACACTGCAAACAAAGAAAAACACTGAAGAACACTGCAGTACACAGAAGAACACTGAAGAACACTGCAGAACACAGAAGAACACTGAAGAACACAGAAGAACACTGAAGAACACAGAAGAACACTGAAGAACACAGAACACTGAAGAACACAGAAAAACACTGCAGAACACAGAAGAACACTGAAGAACACAGAAGAACACTGAAGAACACAGAACACTGAAGAACACAGAAAAACACTGCAGAACACAGAAGAACACT